TAATGTTAAATAGTATACCTATTTCGGTTTTCGAAATTTCGTAAAGAATTATGTATTTTAAATTATATTTTACAAATTTTAATGGCCATGTGCTAATTAATTTTACGTTAAATTGTTTTAATTAAGATTACAACCCTTCTGTAGAATATTCTAATGTGGAGATGAATTCATTGATCTCTCTCTAGGACTATGTTTTATTGAAAATATTTTCAATAGAAATATAATTTTGTGATTAATATTTAATGTAACGTGCATCGCAGATGCATTTTATTAGTTTAATTTAAACATGTGGATGTACACATGATGTGGATAGGAGACCTTGTCTCATTTTATGAGCAAGTACAAATGGCTGGGCTGGGTAGGTTTCTTAGTCATTTTCCATGAACATTAGGTGTATGACAGTAGTAACTTGGGGGAAAGTACAACGCATCTTGCTTACGCTATATAATAAAAAAGAGGGGCATCAACTTTTTATTATCTATGGGGACGATATGGATCCACCAATTGAAAACTACAGGGGGATTCTCTATACTTCCTTAAATACGAGTTTGAGTGGCTCTCAAGAGGAGTGCTTGGTAGGTACATCATCAAAAGTCATTGCCAGGAGTATGCAGGCTCGAAAAGTTCAATTTTTAAATTTACCAACAACCTATTATTATTATTTTTTATTTTTTATTTTTCCCTAAAGTTATAGACCCCACCCCTACCCAATTTTATAGGCATGCCATCCCTCAATACTAAATGACTTACTCTCTTAACCCACAAAACATTTATAAGTGCTCGTCCGACACATTTTTTATGCCCGTCCGGCACAAGCAAGTCCAATACATTTTTTTGTAGGATGGACATATGTTGGGTAGCATGTTTTGGAATCATGGGTTAAAATTGGGGGTATTTTAGTTTAAAAAATTTATATATTTTTTAACTTATAGAGAGGGTTGCAAAGAAAAATATTAATGATCAAAGTGTTGAGGAGGAGGATGCTTAGAAAGTACAAATTGGGAAGTCTTTATAATTTTCCCTTTAATTTTTATTTTTTTTTAATATTCAACAGCCAGTCATTTTGTGTGATTCAACTTTTATGGTCATCACGCCGTCAACTCCAAGGGCCAAGCACTTGCATCTTGAAACCAAACTTCTCAAACATTTATCCCTCACTTTCATGATTTTAATAGAAGAAAAACCCTCCTTTGCACCAATCAGATAATATTGTGTTGTGTTAGTAACACTGAGAAATTATCTTACGAGGATTTATAGCATTTGATTTTTCAAACACTTTTTTATCCACCTTGTCATCAATTCTCAAAAAAAAGGAAAAAGATACGAAGTGACTATTTATTTTTAGTACAAGGACATCAACATGACTCTTGTTTGTCATATTTTTAAATTGGGTGGTTATAAGTGTGTCATTGATCTCAATATTTAAAAAACAATTCTCAAACTTTGTGGCGCACCCCAAGCCATTCAATTTGATATTAAATGGCTAGAAGTGATTGTGACCTCCTTGTAACAATGGTAAATGGTGTTATAATATAAAATTATTTCAAAAAGATAAAAATAAGACTCATCGACACAATAGATCTAATTTTCTATTAAGTAGATAGTGCATAATCTCTTTCATCCATTGTTTAGAAAATCGATGATCCAATCAGAAATCGGGCTAATCCAAAATCGGCCTAACTGTTCCGGATCTAGCCAAAGATTCAGTGTTTTTACTATACAAGATCATAGTGCAATCACGACTCTGACACATCACTACTTCCATGGTGAAAATCGGACATTATCATTGTTAAAATGGGATATATATTCTTTAAAAATTATTGACGCAGCACACCATTTCACCACCTGTTCCCAACCCAACCACATGACTTTGCCCCTCTATCACAAGTTGGAACCGCTCTAAAAGATTGAATAACTTTTATATGGCTTTGCACTCCCACAATTTTTCGATGCGGGATAATGTTTGGAAACCATGTTTATATGGCTTTGCATTGTTAGGAGCGCCACGTCAGGAGCATGCATCTATATGACTATGCATTTAATGATGCATTCATTAAAAGTTTTTATTTAAAACCTTCTGTATATGACCATGGAATTATACACATGTTTCCAACTATAAGGAAGGTTTAGGAATAGTATTTAAGGCACCATGCTTTTATACGACCCATTTTTATAACCTTATTATTGGTGTATATTCAATGGTATTTTAAAACCTTATTTATATGCATTCAATAGTATTCTAACAATTTTTAAACCATGTTTATTATAGTATTATAAGTTTATAACTAATAATTATACATTGATAACTAAATCTTGTAATTTATTTATTAACTTATTTGTATTACAAATTATGTAATGTATTATTTTTTTATAATTGTAGATAAATTTTTTTCAATTAGATGATATTATAATATATTTTAGATTTGTTCTTATTTGTGTATTAAATAATTATAAAATATAAACCAACAATTTTAATTTCAATATCTGATATTATAATTAGTTAGGTTGTTAGAATTTTGGATTAGTAAAGAGAAATAATAAATGTTTGATACTTTGATGTGATACTAATTTTTTGTCGCAATATTATAATATTATACTATAACTAATAATTATACAGACATCCATATAGGAACACAACGTCTCAGTAGTCACCTATTTCTACAAAGTAATAAAAGCGCATAATGAGGGAGTTCCTTTTAAAATGCTTTCAACTGAGGATGTATCTTTCTTAGAAATAGGGGTTGGAATGGATGAATTGCGACATGCGGTTTTTGCTTTGCCCAGGGATAAGGCCCCAGGGCCAGATGGTTTTCCTCGTTTATTCTTTCATAAGTTTTGGATTTTTCTTAAGGATGAACTAGTGTTGATGGTTAATGAATTTTTACTTAGGGGTCTTTGAATAAAGGTATAAATTTAACTTTTATTGGTTTGATTCCTAAGAAGTCTACAATTGCGAGTATCAATGATATTCAACCTATTAGTCTTTTGACTAGTTTATATAAGATCATATCCAAAGTGTTGGCTGAAAGAATTAAAATTGGTTCTTCCTAGTATTGTTTCAGGTGCACAATCTACTTTTATCAAAGGTAGAATGCTTATGGATGGGGTTTTGATTGCCCTAGAGTGCATTCATGCGAGAGCAGTAAATGAGTCTCTAGGGGTTATTATTAAACTCGAAATGGAGAAAGCATATGATCGTATAGAGTGGGCTGTGTTAGATGAAATCCTTCTTTCTATGGGTTTTGGTGATAAATTGTGAAAGTGAATTTCGTAATGTTGGTCTACGGCCCACTTTTCAGTTCTGGTTAATGGATGCCCAAAAGGTTTCTTTTAAGCTTCTAGGGGTATTCCAAAAGGGGATCCTTTATCCCTTTTCTTTTTTACTTTGGTGGGTGAAGCTTTCAATCTGATGATTAATAATGTGGTGGATAGTGATATTTTTTCCAGCTTTAAGGTTAGCTCCAAGGGTCAGTCGATTTCTCATCTTCAATACACAGATGACACTCTACTTTTCTATGAGGCAAGTTCTCAATAAATGTTGAATATTCAGAGATTTTTGAGATGTTGTGAGTTGCCATTGTGTCTTAAAGTTAATTTCACTAAAACATCTATTATTGAAGTTTGTTGTAATCAAGTTCTGGTGGAGTCATTGGTAGGTGTGTTAAATTGTAAAGTAGAGTCATTTCCAATAAAATATTTGGTAATACCTCTTTTAGTTTCTAGGCTGTCGAAGGAGATTTGGGACCCAGTGGTTAAGCAGGCTAATTCAAAACTTGATATTTGGAAAGAAAAACATTAATTTTTAGGCGGGAGAGTTACTTTGATTAAATTTTCATTTTCTAATCTCCCTATATATCAAATGCCTCTTCTTTTAATGCCTGCAGAAATCATTAAGAAATTGGAGAAGTTCATGAGGGATTTTTTGTGGGGCTTTGATGCTGAAACAAAGAGATATCATCTTGTTAATTGGAATAGAATTTGTACACCCAAGTGTAAAGGTAGTTTGAGCATTCACAAGTTAAAATAAGTCGGGAAGGACATCTTTGGATTGAAGTTTTGAAAGCCAAATATATATTTGATTGTTGTCATAATATGGTTGCGGTAGGATTTGTTGGTGGAAGTTCTCTCACTTGGAGGGCCATCGTGTCAATGCCTTCTTTTTTTCGGCATCATTTGAGATGGTTGGTGGGTAAAGGTGAGATGACCTTGTTCTGACACTCAAGGTGGGCATCTGAGTTCCCATTTAAATTACAATTTCTTGACATATATCATAGAAGCTCACAACAAATGGCTATTGTGCATGAAGTAGGCAGTGGCCATCGATCAATATATGGAGTTGCAAAATATTTTGGGGGAGTTATTTATCTCATGCTCAAAAGAGGATGTTGCAATTTGGGATTTGGAACCTGATGGTGTTTTTTCAGTAAGGTCAGCATAATATATTGTTCCATGATCGAATAAGGTGTAATCAGCCTTTTTTAAAGGAAATATGGAAATGTAAAATCCTTTATAAATTGTAGGTTTTTATTTCGATTTTGGCCCAAAGCAAATACCTTAGAGTGGATAATATGAGAAAACGATGTAAGAGCATTATTAATGTGTGCCTTTTTTGTAAAAATGATGAGGAGACACATGATCATTTATTTTTGTATTATCATTTCACCTCTTTGCTTTAGCATTGGGCAATACAAAAATTGGTGTTATCTATGAATATTCCTTCTTCGGTATAGCCTATGGTGAATCATTTGAAAATTGATGGAATCCCAAAGATTGGTGGAATACTTCAGAATATTTTGCGTGGTTCTTTGTTATGGGTATTGTGGTGAGAGAGAAATAGGAGGAACTTTGATGGTATGGCATTGGATTTGGCAACTCTAAAGAATAAGATCTTATTTAATACGTGAAACTGGTTAGAATTACTCAAGAAGGAGGGCGATTTCTGAGCGGATGTAGAAGACAATCTAGATCACTTAATTTTTTTAATATTTATTAATGCAAGACCTAGAAGTGTATGACATCCTCCATTGAATGGCTTCTTGAAGCTAAATGTTGACGGCTCTTCTATGGGAAATCCAGCTAGAGCTAGGGTGGGTGGAGTTTGCAGAGATTCTTGTGGGAATATAACTTCCTGCTCTGCAATCCCTGCCCCTCTCCCATTGCTGCCAATTCCCTCTGCTTCCCAACTCTCATGGCAGCCCGGAGAATCCACCATGTTCCTTCACTTCGGACCCAGCACTTTCACCGATTCCGAATGGCGCACCGGCCACTCTGACCCATCTATCTTCAACCCTGTTGCCTTGGATCCGAAGCAATGGGCTCAAGTGGCTAAGGACGTTGGTTTCTCCAGGCTCATTATCACCGCTAAACATCATGACGGGTTTGGCCTTTGGCCTTCTTCTCTCACTGATTATTGGGTGAGGTCAAGTAAGCGGCGTAATGGCACCGGGGATGTAGTTAGTGAGGTCGCAGAGGACTCTAAAGAGATGGGTCTTTGGCTCGGGCTTTATCTCTCTCCGTGGGATCGCCATGAGTCCAGTTATGGCCAGACGTTGGAGTATAATGAGTTCTTTTTGGGGCAGATGACTGAGTCGCTTTCTGAGTAAGTTCCAGAAAGGATGGGATTTTCGGGTTTTTTGCCCCTCAGTCTAGACAGTGAGATAGAGAAATGAGATAGAGAAAACATGGAGTTTAGAGAAAACATGGAGTTTGTGATGAGCTTTTGTTGGTTTTGATTCTTCTCTTTTTTGGTTTGAGGGAATTACTTGTTTTCCTCTCTTTTTTTCTATTTTTTTTCCATTTTCTTCTTTTCTTCTGTTTTTTCTTCCGTTCTTGTTTGATTGTAGAACTCTTTGGTCTCTGTTTGTATTGGTTTCATTTAGTGAAAAGAGTTGGTTTTCAACACCTGTTTTTCATAGTTGTTTTGAATTCTTCTCTGCAAAGCGCCTTCATTGGTATGAGAGAAATTTTTTTATCTCAAACCCTTGATGGCGATTGCATAAACCAATGGCTTTCCAAAGCTTTACTGTGAATTTATCGATGGCCTTTAATGCCCTCAAACCTAAAAGATGATTAGTTTTCTGATGCTCAGTTGGTGGGTTGTTGCATTCTTTTAGTCTATTGATGGTAGGTGATGTAAAGATTTGTTGCTCAAGCTTTCTAATGTTTTTACCCAAAAAAGAGGCTTTTGAAGCCTTTTGTTTTTGTGCAGCCTTTTGTTGGATCAGTTTCTATTTTTTGACGGTGTTTGGTTTGTGCCTTTGTGGCTGTTGAAGTTACGGGGAGATTAAGGAGGTATGGTTGGATGGTGCCAAGGCTGAGGGAGAGAAGGATATGGAGTATAAATTTGAAGAATGGATTCATGTGATTCACCAGCTTCAGCTTGGGGCTGTCATCTTCTCTGATGCTGGTCCAGATTGCAGGTGGGTTGGTGATGAGGGTGGAGTTGCAGGTTCTACCTGTTGGTCCCTGTTCAATGCCTCCTCTGGCACTACTGGTCATACAGATTACCAGTAAGCCAGGCTCTCATTTACGTCTCCTCATTCTTATGGTCTTCTATTCCATTTCAATGTGCCTTTCTTTATTCTTTTTCTCTCTATGCTTTGCTTTATTTTTATACGTACATTAATTATGATTAGCTCTTGATCATGTCATTTACTGAAAGAAAATTGTTGCTTACAAATTCAGTTTCATGTGGAAAAGAAATAGCCACCCATTTGCATATGCATGTATACATTTATTAATACATAGTCCAACATCTTATTTGCATATGTATGTGTATATATGCGTATGTATGTGTTAACAGATGTATATACCCATAAGAAACGGCATCCTGCACACGAAAATTTATGTCTGCCTGCGTTTACACCACAGAGGGTTGAAGTTCCAGGAGGCTGGGGGTTTTCTGAAGTTATCGCTAGGGTTTCTAATCTCTCTGAGATTTCTATTTTCTATCTCCAGTTTGTTCTCTCTCTATCCCAGGTTTTCCCTCTCTCTCCCCAATCGTATTCTCCGTCCCCCTCCAAATGACCACAAAAAGAGGCCTTATAAGGGTTAAAGCTTGTTAGGAAGGATATGCATGCATAACAAACAAATCCCTCGGTCAAAGATGCACATTTTGAGGGTTACAGATTTGGGCGGCACGATTCGTGTCACCTGGGTGGCACGCCTTGTGTCGCACACACCAATTTTGGTCCAAATTGAGATTTTTTTACTTCTGGTGTATTTCTCAACATCTTGTGAAGCTCTTAGAGAAAATTTGGGTCAAAACTAATTTTATTAATATTTTTAATGATTTTTTAGTAAAGCAGAGCAGTTGCCGGATGACTTGGGTGACCGCTCTGTGTCGCTTGGGCAGCACGCCTCGTGTCGCCCAAACAAAAACTTGCCCAAATTTATGTCGTTCAATTTGAGTGTCTTCCTTAGCCTCTTGTGAAGCTCTTAGAGAAAATTTGGGTCAAAACATATTTTTTTACTTTTTTTAATGATTATTTAGGTAAAACAAGGCAATTGCAAGATGACTTGGGCGATACGACCTGTCACCTGGGCGGAACGCCCCGTATCGCCCAAACCAAAACTTGTCCAAATTGATGTTTTTCAATTTGAGTGTCTTCCTCAGCCTCTTGTGAAGCCCTCAAAGAAAATATGGGTCAAAATCGATTTTTTCACTATTTATAATGATTTTTTTGGTAAAACAAGTTTACGGAAATCTGGGTCAAAACAAGTAGGGTTCTGAACAGACAAACTGATTCTAAATTTATGGATTTCGAATTACTAGGTTAAGTGTGATCCTAAAGGTTCAGAAAAACATAGAATTTTTCATATTTAAAATAGGGTGTCTAAAGTTGCCCCTCTTTGGCACTCCCTATCCTTCGAGGGACAAGTGAATGGCAAAGAAGTAGATACTCGACGTTCCTTGTCCTTCGAGGGGTAGGTGAACGTCAAAGATAATCTCTTCCTGAGGTCACGTAGTAGGAGGGCACACCAATTGTCCCTCCAAGTCATTGCGCTCATCGAGCTCTCCCCCACCTAGGGCATTTTTCCTCCTAGGGTTTTTGGCGTGAGATGTCAATGACTTACACAAGCTCGAAAGTTGAGTTGGATTTTCTGGCCATGCCACTTAACTTAATGGGTTGAAATTTTTACCCCTGGCATCTTCTTTGATCTCCTTAGGGTTTCCTAAGGTTGTCTATAGGTTTAAGAAAAGAGAGGATAATGCAGACATTGAAAATTTGTTACTGATGTCCCGTAGTTAGAGGAGAGGGCACACCAACTATCCCTCCAAGTCATTACGCTCATCGAACACACCCACCTAGGGCATTTTTCTTCCTAAGGTTTACGGCGTGAAATGTCGGTGAGTTACACAAGCTTAAAACTCGATTGGATTTTTCGGTCATGCCACTTAACTTCAGTTTCAAATCTGCAAACCTGCATTTCCCTAGATTTTCTCAGGATTTCCTAAGGCTTTGTATAGGAAAATGCTTTCTATAGGAAGAGACTTGTCTAGCCAAATTCGAAGAGAGAGACGAGATAGCAATACGGTAATCGCGGCAACATGGTGATCATCATATATGGGTGTCCAAGCTCCTTCATTTTTTTTAAAGTCATTTTAGAAATTTTGAAAGTAGGGGGAGATTTCAAATAGAACCCGGAGCAGGGACAGGTTACGATTTTAACAAACAAATTAAAGTTTTTGAAAACACAAACATATACTGAAAATTTTGAAAAGAGTAAGATAATTTCGAAGAACAAGGTTGGTTAGCAGTTTTAGCTCCTGCAACTATAGAGCCCTCTAATCCATTTAATGTCATGCAGCGATGGACAGTGTAGTCGGTAGTTATACTCATACGACCGTGGAGTTTTTATTATTACTATATGTTTTTTTTTTCCTTGCTGCCCCTGTTGGGGGCTGGTTTTCTTTTAATGTAGGTCTTACAGTTTAACCACTTGTGACCCCTTTGGTGGACCCTATGTGAGCGTATCGGGTCCTTGCCTGAATCTTCGGGACGAGGAATCATCAAGTATTTCTTTATCTTCCAACCTCAGCTCTTGTGTTGTAATTCAAGGAGAGTTCTATGGGGTTTCAGCAAAACAGAGTCTTGAAAATACAGGATACTGCCCTTGGATGTTCAGAATCTCTTTGGATTTCCGATTTCGTTCCTCCACCACCCACCTTTCGAAGTTTCAGATGATCTAGGTCCTTAACAACGTTTCGTCAGGCTAATGCCTATTGATTTTTCTTTTAACACCACTTTGACTCAGGGGAGGAAAAGTAGATGTTTAGATAGAAAAGACCTTGGAGATTAGAAGGAAGGAGAGAACTTCTTCTTTTCATCGCCCAAGGGTCCTTTTCGGGTGTTCAACTTGGTGGCCTTTTTTCCAACGCTTGGGGTTCCTCTCGAATTTTTAGCCCAGTAGATTTTTTTTATTTTTTCCGCTCTGGGGTCCCTTTCCGGTGTTCAGCCTAGTTGCCTTTTTTCTAATGCATGGGGTTCCTTTCGGATTTTCAGCCCAACAGATTTTTTTTTATTTTTGAAGAAGAAAAAAGTGACAAAGGAAGAGGAGGAAAAGAAGAGTTAAAGGTGCCCCTTTTTTTTTAGCATTTCGCCTTAAGATTATGTAAGAATTCAATCATCTTTCTCTCCTCTAAGTGGCAGGGAGGTTCTAATATCGGTCTTCCTCTGATTTCCTGTGACCTAGGTTAGCATCCAAAATCTCTTTGATAATGGTTCTTGAATTTTTGTTGAACTTTTCCTTTAAACTGCTCAATTTGAACCTTGATTTTGGGACTAAAACTCATTGTTAGTTTCCAAATCTCTTAGCCTTATGTATGGATGAATAAACTCATCAGGGTTTTCTTGTTAATTGAGTACTTCATATTACACATTAGGCGTTAATGCCTTTTGAAGTGTGAGGCATGAATGCCTCATTTGGTTATTTGCAAGGGGTGAGTGATCACCCAACTCCTTTTTGGTAATCTTTTTCATTGCAAATTTTGCATTGCTTTTCTGAGGTTAACTCCGTAGTAGACTCTTGCTCAGTTCTCGAGCTTAGGTGAGACTCTCGCACCATAAGAGTGATTAAGTTGGTATTAAATGGACTTACGGCATGTTGGGAGTCAACGAAGAAGGGTTCAGTGGCCCCTATTGTATCCTCTTCATGAGAGGAGTTTGCCCCTATTGAATATTTTGATGGGGTTGCCCCTACAGGGCTTTTTACTCCATTGGGAACTTGTTCTTCACAGGATGAATTCTCTTGATATGGTGGTGCTCCAGTTATCGGAGTTGTGCTCATGTTGTTAATGACTTTTAGAGAGCCTGCCTCTTGAGTAGGTAACATGGTCAGATTTTTCAACATCCAATTGTCGATCTCAGATTGGTGGATCATTCAAGAACTCTTGTGAAGATGGCCCAGGTGGGCCCCTTAGAATTTCTTAAGATTCAAGCTCTATCAACTATAGTGAAGATGTCAAATCTTTGGGAATAGTTAAATTTGGGCTCTTTGCTTCTCCATCATCTATAACTGTTCACCTCGAGAGGTGACTCGGTTAAATCTTTTAAGCTTGGCTGCTCATCCTATGTAGGTGGGTTGGCGAGGAAGTCTAATGAAGGTGGCTCACGTGGGCCATTAAAATTCCAAAGGTTCGACCTCTTTTGATATTTGAGGTTTTGGCCCCTTATTTGGAAG